TAAAATAACTATATACCAATTAATTAATTATTATTTGTAAATCACCCATATAAAATCTTTTAGCCTCCAATAAACACTATTACCGCTTATTTATTTTAATATTTCAGCAGACACATTGGAGTAAAATAGTGAACTATTCAGTTGCATATGTGCAAGTTTTATATCAAGTTAAAATAAAATGCTCTTCATTTTCTTAAACTACATATCACAAGTAATTCTGTTTTTTCAACATTTCATTCCTAATGAAAACTCCACAAGTTAAGTAAAATATTTAGTTTGATACTACCTGATGTCTGATGATAGTTAGAAAGTCAAAGAAAACCTACAATCTTATTAGAGTATAAGACCGAAAATGCATTAGGATAGCACTATAGCTCATAGCAGATTCTTTATCTGCAAGAGTGAGCAAGATGTATAATGAATGGCAAACATGTACTAAAAGCAGAACGATTACTAGAGTTCATTAACTCTAGTTGAGCAAACATGGTAACGACTTTAGCATATTCACATTAGCCATTAAATGTTCTAAAGTTGAGCAAACATGGTAACGACTTGGATGTGTTCTACACATCTATCGTCTACAGAAAACACATAAACTATGGCTTTTATCTCTGTCCAACTACAACCTGAAGGCTTCTTCGATTTCTCTCAAAGCGTTCCTTGCCCGCATCTTCCTGCCCCACCCACCCGAACCAGCGTACATGTTTGACATTACTCCCACCAACAATGGGACAAGAGAGAGTGGCACGCAAATCTATAAAAAGTGGTTTATGTGGTTGATATTGAATTGATAAAGTGAGAATGGTTTAAAGTCACACAAACATTACCAAATAAGGTATGGGACAATCTTAGTTGGACGGGCCGAAATAGTAAAATGGGACAATTTTAGCGGGACGGAGGTAGTATGATGCAGCCAGACATGGTGGCGGGCTCCAAACGCAACAGCTTCTCTGCAACCCTTTCGCCAACTTCCATATCCAACCAGAAATAACACGCATTCAGGAGACCTATGAGCCTATGATTAGTACTCTGTCAGCTTCCAGAAGATGGCCTGTTTTACCAAGAAGATCCACTATGCATGTGAAGTTCTCTACACTGGGAGTTATGTTGTAATGTGTTTCCATTTCATGGAAAAATCTCATGCCCTCACTCACCATGCCCACGTGTGTACAAGCAGACAGTTTCGCAACCATTGTTGCTGCGTTTGGATGTACCTATTGAACGGTAAGTACCAACTCAGCTTAATTTAAAAATATCAAACCATCTTAAAAGAATTGAGTTACTCTTCATATCTTGTTGGACAGTTGGACCTTTTATAATAAGGATCAGACTGGTCCCTATAATTGGTGTGTATTCTTATAACAGACTTATTATTACTCTGGAGACCACCACATACAATTGATCGTGTTATAGGGTGATGAAAAGAAGATCCCAACTTTACCAACGACTTCTCTTGAGTCATTAACTATTATTAAGGGTCTTCATAATTATCCATCAATAAAAGAAAATTGTTATTTGTACCATTTTCTTGCACACACTTTGGCACACACTATAAATAGTTTACATTTTTAAGAATGCATGTTTTATAGTACGTATAGTATAGAGATAAACCGAGAAAATAAAGCATCTTTTGAAGAACATAGTTATTGAGAAATATTCTGTAGCAAGTAAAAACAACTACTACAGTCTATGAATTAATGGTAAAGCTTCATAAAGAGTAGATACTCCAACAGATATGAAGGCCACATCTGAGAGTGGTCATTACTTTTAAAGCACAAGCAGAATTGGAATCATTTTTCAGAAACTGGTCTCCCCCAGCTTCTAAAAAGACTGATTCTAGCAGTAAATTAGAGCACCAGAATCACTTATGCACTTTCACCCAAACACTCCAATTTCTGCTTCTACTCCCTGAAGGAGCAGAAGCAGTTTTAAGAATCAGATCCGAACACCCCTGAGTCTAGTGATGTATTTTAGGAGTACATGCATGTTTTATATTTTGTATGCGTGTTGCTGTCTAAAATGCAGTGGTCCAGATAAAATGTTAGACAAAATGGTTAATTAAAATAGAATGAAAGACTTATTAGCTTGCAGAGAAAATTTAGAACTAAAAGGTATGTTATATATATATTGTAAGAAGCATGATCATATTTTGAAAACCCGGATTAAGCCATGCCGTTTGAGCATCATATTACAACATATTAGCATATTGATGTAGAATCCTCGAAACGTGAATAATTAGACACGGTATGTATTTAAAAGGTAACACATTATTAAAAAGCACAACCGAAAATGACTTGAAGATGGAAACATATGACATACCTCACATACCTTTGTGCATATCAAGTGAAGGAAAATTACTATCTCAATGGCTGCATATATTGTGCTGATTTTTATGAAATTGAATTTGTTCACATACACATCAATAGCATATTCACAGTTCAATGGGGAATACGACAATTTCTTAAATCAAATATAAACCAGGTTAGATATTAGTTCAATATCTGACCAGAAGCAAAGGTAATTACTTTTTAATTGACGCATATTTTTTAGTTCAAGACATATTGATAAGCTCACAAGTGATTCATATATACTTGGATACTTTTTTTTGATAAAAAACAACCAAACCTTCCATATCTTTATTCTCCAGCTAGAAATGATTGCAAAGTTCAAAAGAGATTCAAAATAAATTGTTTTTTGGATCATCATAATGTATAATCTCCTCTCCGGTCACTCATAGAAACCAAAAGAAATCAAACAAGAGTACATTCATCCCGGTAAGCATACATCAAAAGTTCACTTAAAGTAAGAGCTATATAATGGGATCATATATTTGCTTCAAACTGGAACATCTAATGATCATATCCATGATCTCCCTGACCATCCCAGGGATGTCTCCAGCCCAAGGCTACTGGTCCATCCTGTTTGGCTCTGTACAGAACCCAAAACCACATGACGGCACACAAGCCCTTGCCGGTGATGGCATGCCAGCGCTTAGGCTGGTGGATAGTGACACCTTTATATGCCATGCCTTGACCATGTCCTCCACCTCGTCCCATCCTCAATCTATTTCCAACACTAGATACTTGGGTATTTCTACCTCAGCGCTTCCAACATGGAAAAGATTGACTACTGAAGGATTAACAAATACTACGTACTATCTTATAAACTACTTATAAACTTATAAACTGAAAGGGAAAACATTTTGCTTGCAAAAATATTAGCCCTCCATCATTAAGTAGTAGGTAACTGAAATGCTTCCAAATATTAGCAGCAAAGTAACAGTGAAGTATAACATTTTCAGGGGAGACTTCATCAGTTTTACAAAGATGACACATTGAAGGAACCGAAGCATAAAATATTGTGCAAGTTAGAGGGAAAAGGAAAGCATTTGAATCATAATCTCCATAGAAAGACACATATTCGTTGGGGTTTTATAGGATGCCAAACGTATTATCTTTCACTAAAAACTTATTACAACAACAACATACAACCCTTAATCCCAAAAGAATTTGGGGTCGGCTAACATGAATCGATCTATGATATCGATGTTAAACAAAGAGACGGACAAGGAGAGAGAGAAAAAGCAAGATAAAACGGATAAAATAAAGTTAAATAAATACGGAAAAATGCACATCATTAATCCCAACTATTAATAGTCTTCTCAAGTTGATCCTACTTGACCTCATACCTACCAAACCGGTAAAAACATTTAAAAAGAGAAAGAGAAAAGTTGTTCATCTATGCCAGGCAGTCAATTCCATGTTTTGCTCCTCTTTCCTGAAATTGATCCTACTTCCCCTCTTTTTTCTTACTTTGCCTACACTTTCACCCGTTTTTTCTTCATAATCCCATTCTAAATCATAACAGTCACAATCCATAGCAGACATACAGTCATACCCATGGAGTCTTGAGTTTTTCTCTGTAGTTTTCACAATCTCTTTTCTTTAACTTCTTTAATCCCATTAATTCAGATGCAAATATGCTATTGACGGGCCTTGACAATAGAGCACAACGTACCCTCATGACAATCATGAGCAGAGTTGAGTGAAATCAAAGACTTCATTACTCCGGAGTTCGGTGATCTTCTCCGGCGAAACACCGGCCAAATTCCAGCGACTAGAAACACAAAACATTAAATTCAAATCATTTCTTGCTCATGACCATGGGACCCGACCCAATCTCAAATCCAAAGACTCCCTTACAGTGCTTACCAAAGCTCAAACTGAAGAGCTGCCATCGGAGAGTAAGTAAAAGGAAAAATCAAAAAAAGAAAATAAAGTTGGAGACGGACAGGAGATTCAAGTGGGAAGAAAGGAGTACTGAGTTGACTCGCCGGGAGAAAGGAGAAATAGAAGAAGAAGAAGAAGAAAAACAGGCGGGTGGGGTGTGGGGAAAGAAAAAGGAAGAGAAAAAGAAGTAAACAGAAGTAAAACTATAAGAATACTGAAATAAGCCATGTGGCTAGCTGACCTGTTAAATAGGTTTGTGCATGTCACCTCTGTAATGTAAGAAGATATACCTTATAGTTTATATTATTTTGAAATTACTGATAATTAGGATTAATATAAGAAGATCATGAATAATTGGGATTATTCATGTGAATTTTTCCTATATAAAATTAGGAGGAGACGTATATCTGTCAACCATGAACAGTCTTTTAGCTTCCAATAACCACGGTTCCGCTTATTTATTTTAATATTTTATGTCACTAACACACAATGGAGTGAACTACTCAGTCGCATATGTGCAGGTTCCGTATAAAATTAAAATAAAATGCTCTTCATTTCTTAAACTACATATCAAAAGTAATTCTATTTTTTAGGCATTTATTCCTAATGAAAACTCCACAAGTCAAGTAAAATATTTACGGAGTATAATGATATTACCTGATGATAGTTAGAAAGTCGAAGAAAATCCTAGAATCTAATAAGACCGGTAATGCAGCTGTATAGCACATAGCAGATTCTTTATCTGCAAGACTGAGCAAGATGGATAATGAACGGCAACTAAACCAATTAGCTTCAGTTAATTAAGAAGGGCTGAAAACAGAAGGATTACTTGAGTTCATCACATTAGCCATTAAATGTTCTAAAGTTGAGCAAACATGGTAACGACTTGGATGTGTTCTATCGTCTACAGAAAACACATAAACTCTGTCATTGATCTCTATCCAACTACAACCCGGAGGCTTCTTCACTTCGATTTCTCTCAAAGCATTCCTTGTCCGCATCTTCCTGCCCCACCTACCCAAACCAGCATACATGTTTGACATTATGATGCAGCCAGACATGGTGGTGGGGTCCAAACGCAACAGTTTCTCTGCAACCCTTTCACCAACTTCCATATCCAACCAGAAATAACACGCATTGAGGAGAGCTATGAGTAGTACTCTGTCAGCTTCAAATGGCATAGCCTTTACTAGTTCCACAGCTTGCAGTAGATGGCCTGTTCTACCAAGAAGATCCACTATGCATGTGAAGTGCTCTAGACTGGGAGTTATGCCGTAACGTGTTTCCATTTCATGGAAAAATCTCATGCCCTCACTCACCATGCCCACGTGTGTACAAGCAGACAGTATCGCGACCATTGTTGCTGCATTTGGATGTACCTATTGAACGGTAAGACCCAACTCAGCTAAATTTAAAAATAACAAACCATATTAAAAGAATTGGGTTACTCTTCATATCTTGTCGGACAGTTGGACCTTTTATAATAAACTCTATGTCTTAAACTCTTAATATTGTGTTAGAGTTCATCTGATCCTTATTTTTATATGGGCCCCAATATAAGGATCCGGCTGGTCCCTATAATGGGTGTGGATCCTTATAACAGAATATTTTACATCTGAAGAGGTGTTTGTAACAGAACAATCCAACTACTGATGCTACTAGTGCTAATGCTCCTCCAATTGAGCACACATTAACAAACTATCTATGAGTTCAAATGAAAAGCCATAATGTTTGACATTGGTCTTTATGGAAAATATAGTTTTGCTTTGTGTGTCGCTTTTAGTCTATAAAAGCTTAGCATTACAGCTTACCAGTTAAGGGAGTAAGAGGAAAAAGGATTGGTTTTTTGTAGTTCAATGGCCATGATTCCTCTTATAATTCTATTTCATGATAAACAAGAGACTTCTACCATCCCAACAATCCAACTATGAAGGGCCTCTTCAGACCATGATGAGATGTTTGGGGTGTTGAAGAGTTGACAAAACCGTAACCCAGTAACCATAGTACCTTTTGCTCCAACATATCTTTGAAGAGTAGGATTGCGTCAGGGCCGAGGCCATGGTGTGCGTATGCATTGATCAAAGCTGTCCAAGCTGCAACATTTGGACAAACGATTCCAACAAACGATGATTTAGCGTCAAAAATGGCTCCACATTTGGAATACATATCCACAAGTGCCGTCCCGACATAAACGCTGGTGTCAAATGGGGTTTTAACCAGATGTGCATGAATAAGTTTTCCTTGCAGTAGAGACCCAAGACAGGAACATGCATGAAAAAGGGCAGAGAATGTAGACCTCGTTTGGCTGATTGGTACACGACGCATTTTTAGATACAGTTTTAGCGCATCTTCATGTTGAGCATTTTGATTGTAACCTGATATCATTGAGTTCCAAGTAACAGGGTTCTGATATCCTTTAGTTGTTTCGAATAGTTCCAGAGCTTTCTCAATCTCATGGTTCCTGGAATACACAGAGATCATTGTATTTGTGGAAGTTAATGGTCTTTCATGCATTTCAGCAAATAGATCCTTTGACTTGTCAGCTTGGCCACACAAAGCATACCCTTTTAACATCAAATTGTATGAAACTGGATTCCTATTAATCAACTCTCTGAAAACAGATTCAGCTTCTTCAATCTTTCCCGCCATAACAAGACCAGAAATCAACACATTCGAATCATTCACGCAAGGATTCTTCAGTTGGTTGTATACACTTTTCGCATCATCCATCTCCATACAATTGCAATACAAATCAATAAGTGCTCCGCATATTGAAAGGTCTAGTTCAAAACCAAACCTCACTACCAGCCCATGAAGGGCCTTTCCTTCTGGTAAATCACCCTGTCTACCACAAGCTCTTACCACGCAATCCAAAGTGAACTCATTCGGTGCCACGTCATCTCCGTTCCTCATCAGTGAGAATAACTCCAAAGACTTTTGACATCCCTGTTGAGTTTTCGAGTATCCGGAGATCAATACAGTCCAGGCAATAACATCACGAGTTGGCATTTTGCTGAAGGTCCTTGAAGCATCGTTCATTAGGTTACACTGTACATAACACACGAGCATCAAACTCCAAAGCAGCTCATTCCATTGGTGAAATTCATCAAACACCTTCCTCGCGTCTTCAACTTCATAAAAACTTGAGTAGAAATACAACAGAGCACTCCCAACAAGCTTAAAGTTTTCGCATCCAGACTTCAAAACCAAGCCATGTAGCAGCTTTCCTTTGCAGAACGATCCTGAATGAGCGCAAACACTAAGAACAGACGAAAGTGTGGACTCGTTAAACTTTGTTCTGCTGCGGTGCATTAAGGAAAGCAAAGTAAAAACTTCGATGTACTTTCTCCAGTGGGCATATCCAGAGATCATGGTGTTCCATGAGACGACAGTTCTTTCACGCATTCCATCGAATAGCTCGCGTGCTCTGTCAAGATGACCGCGTTTGGCAAGCTCAGTAATGCTAGTGTTGATGGAAACGACGTCTGATTCAGGCCGTCGGCCGATGGCAGTGCTGCAGTTTCTTTTCCACCTACTGTGCTTCCAAACTCTTGGGGACGTCAATTTCATAAGCAGGAGCGGGTCTAGCATTTCAATTGAGCATAGGACAATAAATTAGTACATACTAGTACTAGTATAAAATAACTTCAACTTCATAAACTACAAAAAGTAATATTACAAATATTTTACCAGCATGGAAGTTTTCATCAAAGGCAAATAAAATAGCATAACAAATTCAACTCTACAACAATTCACCACATCTATAATAAATTGGATAATATTAAAAAGATCCTCACAAGTAACAAGTAGCAATCATATTAAAGACAATGGGGTGAATACTTGAATACCATTTTTAAATTTTGTTAAACAACCAATGGCTTGTAAACATATACAAGTGCAATTAATGATTTCTAATTATTTGATCTTGTCAAGTTACCAACCACATTGTTGTGATATGGAGATATAGTATATTCCAACTATTCATATTCATAAATTCTTTAAAAGCATTTATGCTTATCCGTGAAGTAAAAGAAATCGAAGAATATGCTTAGCAAACATAAATGATGCTACTCTCCCCTGTTAACAACAAGAACGTTTTCACTGTTATTTCTATAAAGATGCCAACCGGGTTGTATTTGTAAATAATTACATCAATATATTAATTTACCGCAGTGCACTAATAAAGTAGTAGTATTAGTAACAGTGCTCCCTTGAAGATTGCCAAAATAAATTGGGAGGGCAGTTCTTCTTGACTTGGAACAATACCCACAATCAGCTGTAACCAAACTTTCTGGCAAATTTTTCCCATTTGCAACAAACAATCAGATTAAACACTCAAAGAGGGAAGAAAATCGTAGCTAAAACTTTCTGGTAGTTTTTTCCCATTAGGTTAATAAAGCAACAGCTATAACTCTATAAGTAAACTTTCTAGTCATTTTTTCCCATAAGGTTCATGAAGCAAGTACTACTGAATTGGCTTATAAAGAGAAAGGGGCAGGGAATTTTCTTTTTTTACTTCCTATGAATGATTGACTTCAATCCACCCTTTTCTAAATTACTATAAACCCCTACCTATTTCAATTCAATTCCAAATCAATTCACGATATACATGTCCCGGTTCAATGGGAAGAAATTATGAGGCAATTTCGTAAAATATAGAAAACAGAGAGACAGGACGGCGAGCTAGGTAAGGGGAGAGAATGAGCCAGGTAGAGGCTTACTTGCTTGTTAGAGAACTTCTTAGCCTTCTTAGTCGCCTTCTCAAGAGAGCTTTCAATTCAGTCCGACAACCGGTCTTCTCTTTCTCGGTCGACGACTGCCGCTGCTAGCTTGACTTCCACGCCCGATCTCTTTTTGCCTTACTGATTGTGGATATATATCTATGAACTCGGCCGCACGCCTCGTCACGTTGAGCCTTTTCGGCTTGCTAGCTCGCCGGAGAAATGGTTCTTCACTTCTCCCTGTTTTTGGAAAGTTCAGGCAAAACTGGTCTGGATTGGAGCATGTGGATATGAGCTGGTGTTCGTCTAAACTCGGACGGCGTTAAGTTCAAGGGCATAAATGTGATCAGGTGGGTGTATGTTTAGAATTGGAGTTTTTTCCATTTTTAGTCCTCCGACTATTAAGTCATTGACACTTTTGGTACTTGACTTTTATTTTTTCCATTTTTAGTCCTTGTCTATTGCGCTAGAGACACTTTTGATACCCATCTTTGAAAATTTCCATATTTAGTTCTTCAACTTTCATAAAAGTGACATTTTTGGTCCTTTAACTGTTTAACAGTGACATTTTTAGTCCTCTATTTATTGTGTCGAAATCATAGTGAGATGACTAAAAGTGTTAATTTGACAATACTCAGGGACTAGATATGGGAAATCTTAAAGTCGAGGACTAAAAGTGTCTCTAGCACAATAGTAGAAGACTAAAAATGGAAAAATTAGAAGTCGAGTACCAAAAGTGTCATGACATAATAGTCGGGGGCCAAAAATGGCAAAAACTCTTTAGAATTGTCCTTTGTTTAGGGAAGGTTTGCAACAACTTAGAAAAAAAAGAACTTCTCAGCTTTTGGCTTAAAAAGTGCACTTATTTACCAAACACTACCAATTTTTAATTTTTCTCGGCTTGCGTGTGAAAAGTGATTTTCCCCTTTTTATTACACAAAAAACACTTATTTTACCAAACACTACCAATTTTTACTTTTCAAAATCATTTTTTTCTCAAACAATATCAACTTTTACTACTAATCATGTTTTCCTTACATCTCCAAAAGTGTTTTTTTTAGCAGAAGCAGTTGCAAACACTCTCTTAATTCTATTAAGAACCTGTCCACATTTTGAAAGTAGCACCTCAAACTCCAGTTTGCGTGGACAAGGCGGCTTTGTTGGGTGTGTATAGGGCTACTTGCATCTCCTAGCTCTCTCTTTCTTTGTACTCTCTTTATTTTTCTCTTTCTTTTACGCAGGTTTGGTGAGTGAATTTGGTCATATGTTGGTCGTGAGTTAGGAGAAACCCAAGTTATAGTACATATTTCTATAGATATGAGTGCACACACATGAAATTGTGAGCACGGTAGACATTTGTAATGAGCTTTTTGATTTTTTTCCAGGCTCATTTCGTAATTTATGTATACTCGTTTGATATTGGTGTAATATACATTTTAAAATGTCATGTTCATGTAAATATCAAAAGTATAATATACTCGTTGGATTTATGTGTTCTATGTAAATATTTTTAAAAAAATAAGAAAAAGAAAGTGAATTATATGATATGAATTCGATATCACGATAGTCATTGTTAGACTTTCGATACTCATTAGGATAGATTTAATGTTCACTAGACGTGCATCGGTACTCATTTAGAATAAATCACGAATTTCACTTAAATTACCAAAATGGCACTGGTTGTACAATTTGCACCATGAAGTTTGGTTGTACGGTATGCGGACTCAGTTATTATCTGCTTCAAATAGTTTGATATGATTTAAATTTAAATGAACTTTTTTATGCAAAACAACTATCATGATTAGAGAGAGTGAAAAAACTTTCTCAGTTATTTTCTTACAATCTGCCTTGATCCTTTTTGTTGAGTTTTTTTTAAAGATCCTTTTTGTTGAGTTAGTTAAGCACAATGACCCATTCATTTTTTAAAATATATTTCTATTTGAAAAACCTTTTGGTGCTATTTTATTTCCTTTTTTGGTGAATTCTGATCTACGATCTTTTGATAAAATTTTGCTACATAAACAAATAAGCTTCCGATCAAATACCGTGAATGCTACTATGTTATGACTGAGTTACTATTTCATTTTCCATACTTGATGTTGACTTTGAAACTAACACTGTTTACTTGATCAATGGATCTAGAAACATCTTCAGCAAAAAAAGTTATTTGTTGGTTTCAACGCAAGCATTTCTAAATTTGCAAACTTTTGGAGCCAACTTTTTCATTCGATTATGAACTCATGTGGTACTAGGGCATTACCCTAATCAGGGGTGGGCATTTCGGTTTACGGTTCGGTTTTATTCGGTTTCGGTTCGGTTTCGGTTTATTCGGTTTGGCGGAAAATGTACCAAACAAAAACCGTTTACATTTCGGTTTGGTTTCGGTTCGGTTTGGAAATAAATCGGTTTGGTTCGGTTTGGTGTTCGGTTTACCAAATTAGAAACGGTTTGGTTTGAGTTGAAACTAAACCGATTAAATGAAAACAAAATACTAGGAGAGCAGTGTGCATTAAATTAAAATATAAAATAAATCATATACAATTTGCAAAGCATATTAAAATACTTGCCAAGCATCTATTCCAGATTTCCGATTAATAAGACAGTAATTTGGAAAGACATTGACTTGTTACCACAAATTAAAGGACCAAGTATATTAAAGGACCACTATGGCACTATCTGACAAGATATATTACGACTAAAATTTTAGTTGAACTATGAAAATGCACTTGTGTCTATTTGACTTCATGCTAACATTAGAATCTAGAAACCATCTTGGTAGAAAAGGTCCATGGAACTGAAACCAATGAAATGACTTCATTTAACATCTAAAGAGGGTAGGGAAACAACATACAACATCAGAACTGAAACAAGAGATTACAAGCCACTATAAGTTAATTATTAATTGAACGGAAGCACACAGTGACCGACAAAATTAAGAAAACAAAAGAATGCATACCTGCAGCAGAAACATCAAATAGCTTAGTTGTTTGACTATTTGTAATACTTCCTGAAGAGTGGTGAAGCCATATATGAAGCTGGATAACCTGAATCACTATCAATATCTTGTACTTCATATTGGGTAGCCTACCATACAATTTATGAATAGTGCAAACCTACATTTCAAAGATGGGGTATTCATGCAACTACAATTTTACAAACTAAATCATTCATTCATTCCAAGCAAAACAAAGGGAAGTTACTGCATTCTGGGAGACTTAAAGCAGTCCACTGCTGCCCAACAAAATAAAATGTCAAATATTTGTACTCCCCAACAAAATAAACAATAGCATTATTACATAAGATAATAAGTTCATAATAACATTAAAATCAACAGCCACAAGTAGCATTTCTGGGAGAGTTAGAGCAGTCCGTTGTTGTCCCCTTCTCCATCTAGCAGTGAACTCAAATATCAGCCTACATCCTCACTTGCTTTATGGATATCTTTACAAAAAAAACAGGTTTCAGAAAAATACAGTGTATTAAGTAGTTAAACAAGTTCAAGAGACAAGTAAATTAATTAATAATATATATATTATCAGTAATTACCTTGATCAAGTGAATCCATGAACTCAGTTTCCTCTATTATTTGGTGAAGGCTGACTTTAGCATCTGATTCAAGAGACGAGCGCAACCAGTCTTGTGTCAATATCAATGCTTCAAGCATACGAGGAGTTAAACAACTCCGATATGGGTCCAGAATTCGACCTCCTGTGCTAAAAGCGGACTCAGATGCAACAGTTGAAACGGGAATTGCCAGAACATCTCTTGCCATTTCAGCCAAGATTGGAAACTTCGAACTATGTCCCTTCCACCATGACATAATATCAAACTGCATACCTAACCTATTACGTGATGGCAATTCAATTTTTTCCATCAAATATATATCCAATTCATTAGACATTTCTTCCACATTTCCTGTGTCACTTACCATTTGAGTATATTCTGAAAACAGATTCTCAAACCCATCATCACCATCAAAACTCAAAAAATCAGATGAACCAGTTTCACCTAAACAACTCTGATTCACACTTCCAGTATCACTTTGAGATTGAATTGCACTAGTGAGATTGACATGCACAGCATAATACACTTCATAAAGCCTACGCAACACCTCAAGTTTCGCATCTTTCATTTCAAGAAACTTCTTACTATCCTTCCCATGCAATTTCTCCAAACAAATAGTTACAAATGTCATTTTACTTCGTGGGTCAAACACACTTGCAACAATAAGTAACTTGTTGATCTCCATTCCCTCCCAATACTTGCTAAACTTTTTCTTCATCTCAGTTGCAGCAGTACTCAAGTTTACATCAAGTTTGTTGTTAATTAATGAGTTCAAATTCATTTCAAGTGAGCATATCTCATTATAACAACTACTCGATGTCACACTTTTAGATGCAGAAAAAGATAGAGTGGAGTCGTAGAAAATTTTCAAGAATCTTACCAATCGACGAACCTTCTCCCAATCCTCAACTTTTGGAGGTCCAACTCTTTTTTGACCCTTTTCATCTTCTTGAAAGTAACTGTCATATAGCTTGTCTTCATCAGCCATTCTATCAAAAGCTACCCTGTGCTTCATAGCTGCAGTCAACATAAGATAAGTGTAATTCCACCTAATGTTGTTGTCTAGAATCAGACTTCCTCTAGTGACATTACCTAGTTCAGAGCGTCTTTGAAATACTAGGAATCTACTATGAGAAGACCTAACATACTTCACTGCATTGCGTACACTAACAACACTATCATTTATGTCTGACAGACCTTCTCTTGTTATCAAATTCAATATATGAGCACAACAACGAACATGCATAAATTCACCATCTAAAAGTAGAGGATCATCTCTCCAAAGTTTCAAGTTACTTTTCAGTATCCTAACTGCACTATCATTTGCAGTAGCATTGTCAACTGTTATAGTGAAAACCTTATCAATACCCCAATCAATCAAACAACTCTCCACTTGTTTGGCAATTGTCTCTCCTTTGTGATCACAAATTGGCTTGAAACTTATGATTTTCCTATGCAACTTGTAATACAAGTCAATGAAATGTGCAGTGATAACCATATAACTTACTGTGGTAGTGTTGGCAGTCCATATATCGGTAGTTAAAGAGACTCTTTGTTTTTGTTGATTCAACAAAGATTTTAGGGCAGCTTTTTCTTTCATGTA